GGACAGGAGGGGGGAGGGAGTAGTTGTTGGATCTGATTCTGCATGTGTCCAAGCAGGAGGAAGAATGTTCTGGAAGGGTCCCAAGGAACAGAGAGCAGGCTTCTCCCGTCTCCTGGTCTTTCTCTGAAGGGCCAGCCCAGCCCCAGGGCCCACATGGGATCTGTGCTGGTGGGTGAGGCTGGGACCCCTGAGCTCAGGCAAGGGCCCGGGCTGATGAACAGTGAGCCCTCAGGGCATCTCTATGAGGCCAGGGGGCTCCGCGGTCAGTGGCCAGGGGTGGGGACCAGCTACAAGCAGCCACATGTGCTCCTGTGAACTCCCCACCAGTCCCACCAACAGCAGTGTGTGCTGCGTGTGTGCGGTGGGTCTGAACACCTTCACACCATTCGGAGGCTGCTGAGTGCCCTTCTGGCAATCTTGGGCATGCCCTCCATGCAGGGGAGACCCTACTCGGGAGTGGGAGGGTGGCCCTCCCAGCACCCTGCCAGGAAATGCGAGGCGAGGGCCCCTGATGTCAGGAAACAGTCTTTATTCAAGTGCAGGGAGATGGGTCATGTGACAAGGCCAAGGTGAGATGTCCGAGCCTGCTCTCCTTTATCCACCTGACCTGCGTGACCTGTTCAGGGCAGCCTCGGCCTGCGGGGCAGGCGGAGGTGTGAGTGCCTGTAGCCCAGGGACAGCAGGTCTGAGGTGTTTCATATCCGCTGTCCTGGGCTCCTGGGCCTGGGGTGCGTGGCCCTCCTGCAGGTGGCCCCGTGGGCGCTGTGGGCACACCGTCTGCACGCAGACAACCCCCGACCAGCAGGAAGTGGATTTATGGCAGAGACTTGTAACCTCGGGGCTGAACTCACCCATGAGAGTGGGTCCCAGGACCAGGCGCCCGAGAGGAAAGCTTGCTGAAAGGAGATGCCTCTCCCCACGTCCTGCTGCCTCCAGCAGCCGAAGGTACGTCTGCGCGGAGGGGTCGGTCAGCGTTGGAGCTCAGAGGCCTGCTGGACAAAGCCCCCCTTGGCCCGCTGAACCACCGGGCGTGGCCCCCACGCAGGGTGGAGGGCCCGCAGGGCTCTGGCCTCAGACACAGTTGTCCGGGACGCACTCGGCCTGCTCTTCGAGCTCCGGGCAGGGTGCCCCGTGGTTGGCAGGCTGCACGCGGACGTAGCGAGTCCTGCTCTTGGCTCCCAGCTTCCCACACGGACCTGCACACAGCCCCCAGGACGACCACAGAGAGACCTCGCAATCCAGCGGAGTTTCTGGAACTGGACCAAGCACAAGAGAGGCCTGTGAGCATGTGTGCATTCCTTGTGCGAGACAGGCCCACACATCCAAGTCGGGAGGGAGCGCTGGATTTATCAGTGCACTTTAGAGCCGGCTGCAAGACCACCAGTCACACCTCTTGCAACACTCCACCGAGACGCCTGGAGGGAACATTGCCACGCTTTGATCCCCTGCATCTCCTGCCTCAGGGACCCTGGGAGGCCAGCTCTGGCAGTGGGGAGTGGGAGCACAAGGCCCCTGGAGGCAGGGAAGGATCCGCTGCTGAGAAACCCACTCTGATGCAGCCGGGCTCGCAGGGGGCTCTGTGTTTCAGTGGGAGTGCCCCCACGCCGGCTCATGGCAGGGTGGGGTGGGGGACACAGAAGGATCCGTTCAGTGGTGTCCTGCCCGTCGGCCATGACACGGGCCACACGCGGGGACGCCACTGACAGGGGCCTGGTTTACCACTCACTTCTGGGCAAATGGACAAGAGCTAACTGGTCAGTCAGCCAAATCCCAAATCTCTCCGAACCCCCATCGTCCTGCACCAAGTGCTCTGAACCCCCAGGACCCCAGCATCCTGCGAGAGGACACATCACACTCAGGAGCCTGGCTTTGGACGGAGCACCTTCCCCAGCTCTGCCACCTCGGCTCAACGTGGGACTCCCCTGGGAGACACCGCCTGGTCCCTGGACCACTGGCCCTCGTGGGGAGCAGGTGACCAGTGTGGCCTTGGAAAGTGGAGCGTGTTGAGGTGTCATTGACACTTCAAAGACGGTCCCTTTGGGGCAGTTTCTGGCCCCGAGTGTCCTTTCCTGCTTCAACGTGGTGGCCACTCACCGTTGAGGATTTTTGTAAGGGTGGGACAGAAGGGCCTCACACAGGGGGGTCAGTATTGACAGCTGCCCTGTCCTGGGTCCCTGTGTGGCCCGCAAACCTGGGTGGCGCTTCTATCCCCTGCAGCCCGCGGGGCGTCAGGGCTCCCCCCCCCCCCCCCGGGCGTCGGCGGGCTTGGCGCCCGGATGGCGGTGGAGCGGGCGGGGAGCCTGCAGTGTCCTGGCAGAGGGGCGGCAACGCGCTCACCTGAGAGGCTGTCCACGATCTCATTGCCCCCGCCGGCGCCCGCGGGGCCTGGGGCGGGCGGGACGAAGGCCCTGGGGTTCTGCCGGAGTCGCACCAGGGTCACTCTGGCGATGGGGGGCAGGGACTTCAGCCGGGGGTAGTAGAAGGAGTTTGCGGGGTGGCTGGGAGAGGAGGAGGTTATCTGCGGAGAGAGCAGCGGTGTGGGCGGCGGCGGCCAGAGGACACCCAGCCGCCTGTGTGCGCTTGCGGGAGGTGGGGCCGTGCGGTGGCGCCTCGGGGTGTGGTCTAGGGGTGGGGCCTGGGGGTGTGGTCTAGGGCTGCGGCCTCGGGTGGGGCCTCGGGGTGGGGCCTGGGGGTGTGGTCTAGGGGTGGGGCCTCAGGGTAGGGTCTCGGGATGGGGCCTCGGGGTGGGGCCGCAGGGTGGAGCCTCGGGGCGGGGCCGCGGGGTGGGGCCGGGCAGTTCAGGACTCCCCACCCCCCAGGCTCCCGCAGGCTCCGAGGGTGCGCGGCCCAAGGTCTGGGAAACCGAGCAGGAAGGGTCAGGCCTCTGGGTGGCGGCCTGGGCCCTCCTCCCCGAAGAGCAGCCGCCTGCAGACTGGCGTCTTGTGGTCAGGGATGAGGCTGCGCCCTGGCCCAAGAGCCACCCGGTGGAGGGCTCTCGTCCCCCACCTCCGTCACCCCCTCACCTCCGTCACCGTGTCCTGCGGGATGGTCGCGAAGTTGGGGGAGGAGAAGGTAAAGCCGCTGTCGGTCCCGGCGTCGTAGGGGTAAAGGTCCACAGCAACCTGCTCCCTCCAGCGGTCCCCATCGCACAGGTCCAGGCTGTCCACGCCCACAAACCAGTCTGGGCTGGGGACGATGCGGACCACAAAGGACACCTGCGGGGAGGGCGGGTGCTCAGCCCGGCAGCCGGCGGCCCAGCCCCTTCCCCCCACCGCTGCCTGGGCTCACCAGCGAGTGCCTCGAGTGGACCTCCAGCTCCGCGGACGTCTGCCCGGTGCCGCTGGGCACGGCGGGCGCCGAGAACACCTCGTGCACGCTCTGCAGCTTCTCCCCGGCCGCCTCCATCTCCCGCATCAGGGCCCAGGCCTCGCCCCGCTCAGCAAAGTCCCTGAGCCCGTCGCTGACGTACTGGTTCTTCCTCCACAAGCTGTAGTCGGAGCTGTGCGCTGCCCCTGCGCGCGAGGCCGGAGTGTGAGCCGCCGCGCGAGGGAGCGCGCATCCCCGGCGCCCCGGGGGCAGGGCCCAAGCACAGCAGGACGTGCTCCGCAGATATTTCTGGCGCTGCAGGAAAGTGGGATGAGCGTGCCCACCCTGCACACTGGGAAGTGTGGTGGAGCGCTTGAGGGGGGTGGTCACTGCCGGACCGGAGGGACCGGGCAGCGGGGCTGTACTTACCCAGCAGGGAGGACCACTGTGCGGGGGGTCGGAACAGGGGGTACTGCTTGGGGAAGGCTGTCTGGCTCCACTTGCCCGTGAAGGTGATGCTGTACTTGGTCAGGGGCTGGGCCGTGCAGACAGACTCTCCCCCCAGCGGCTGGCTGGCCACAGAGCCAAGTGTGGTCAGGAGGAGGGCCCAGAGGGCCCTGCCCCAGGTGGTGGTGTGACTTGGGGCTCCCATGACCTAGGAGCAGAGGGAGAGCTCCACCAGCTGGCGCCCCTGGTCCTTGAGGGGGGAGGGGCAGGGGCCTCCCAGAGTGCGGCGCCCCCCACACATCCCTTTGCACTCCCACCTCCATCAGGCTCAGGGGGACCCCTGTCCTGCCCCCAAAAGCCAAGCCGTGTCAGGTTACACTTGGATCCCAAGCCCAGCAGATTCGGAGCCCTGGCTTGGTCTCAGCCGTGCCCGGGGCAGCATCCCCGAGTCCCAGGAACCTGGAGGGTACACTTCAGCCTCGCTGTGCTCGGGATGACACGAGCAAACGCAGGCCTCCCTCTTGGGGTGCTGCGGGTTGCTGGGCCCGGGAAAGGGCCAGGAGGCCCAGCGCCTCCAGATGGGGACAGGGGCGCACACGCGTACTCACCCAGCAGGAGCGGCAGGAGGGTTGGCAGCTGGGCTGTGGGCAGCAGATGGTCCCCGAGGGAGCCCAGAGCTCCAATTTACGCCCAGGACAGCCCCCCGGCCGGCCACGGCCGCTGCAGAGAGCCGAAGCTCGGACGGGGAGAGGGAGAGAAGGGGCTCCTCCAGTGCGGTCCGCCCTCGCTCTGCGAGCAGATGCTTCTCTGGCGCTGAGGTCACTCTCCTCCCTCGGGCGCCTGCCACTTGCCGCACCCCTTTCTTTGTCTTTCCCTCCCGCCTCCCCGCCCTCGGCTCCTCTCCCTGCCGCTCCCCCTTCCCAACAAACCCGTCTTAGTGTCTCCCAGGAGGTACTGTCGCAGTCTCAGCTGGGAGGGGAGCTGGGCTGGGGAGCGCCAGTGTGTTACACCCTCCGCGCAGGGTGGGACCCCAGGGGCCACATTCCTGGCCTGACGCTAGTCCAAGTGTTGGAGAGGAGCTGGAGAAGTGGGGGCTCCCAGTTCAGGCATCCCTGGCCTTGAGGAGCTGGGTTTTGGCACACACAGCCTGTCAGCGTGCACAGAGCCGCCGTCCACAGGGCTGGCCAGGGCATCCCTAGAGGGGAGCCAGAACCACTCGGGTAGAGTTGTCCCAGCTCCAGAAAGGCTCACTGGGGCAGGGAGGTGGCCCAGGGCCCCCGCCCCACTTCCCTCCGTGGGGTAGAGCTCCACGGACACCTGGCACGCAGGGGGACATGACCAAAGCTGGTCACCGCTCACGGTCAGGAAAATATTTCTAGAACCCTAATCATGGGGTCTGGGAACAGAAAGGAAGCTCTTACTTATCAGAACTGCCCAGGGAGCTTTCAAGCTTAAACAGAAAGCATTATGATTTTTGGAACTGTTAACATTCCAGAGGAGGTTGGGGGGGTGGGGCGGGAGGAGAGGGACAGAATAAATAGAATCAACAGGAATAGAACGCACACAAAAACGAATGACCTGAGCTGTATTCAAATACATCCCACAGGCCGCAAGAGCAGCCTGCCTGCATAGCCATATAGATGGCAGGTCCTCAGGCTGAGCACATCCTCACTCGGGGTTTTCCAACTTTTTGGTCTCAGGACCCCCGACACCCTTAGAAATCATTGAGAGCCCCAAAGAGCTTTCGTGTGTGTGGGTTACAGCTGTTAATACTTACCGTATTTGAAATCCTAACAGAAACGTTCAGAATACGTATTAACTCACTTACAAATGAAAATACGTTCACATAAATAGCATAATGTTTCATGAAAAACAACTATATTTTTCAAAAAAGAGTGGTCTGGTTCTACATTTGTGCAGATCTCTCTCTGCCTGGCTTTGTGGGCCGAGAGCTGGGCCTCCACATGTGACCCCGCGCAGCGGGCGGGAGGTGCGGTGCTGGTCCACCCCCAGCAAGGACAGGCCTTGCGGCCTCTGGAAAAGTCCCGCACCTGTGGGAGAGAACGTGAGCAGAAAAGGCAGGCGCTCCCTGTGCACCTGTGTCTTGTTCTCCTTGAGAAGCCGTGGCTTTCTGGGGGGAGAGAAAGCAGGAGATGGGCCCAGGGCTGAGTTGCAGCCGGCTCTCCTGCTGTGATTTGCTCACGCACTGTCCAGTGGTGGCCGTGGCCTCAGGCTTGCCCCAGTTTACAGGGGGCTCTGGTCCCAGCACCCCGACACCCATGTGGAAAGCCTCTGCAGCTCAAGGATCCTGGGGAGGGGAGGCGTGATGTGAGGCCACTGGAGCTCCAGGCCTAGAGCCCTTGGGCAGGGCCCCAGCTTCCTTGCCTGGGCTCCCCTGGGAGGCGCTCCACTTCCTTTGGTGGACGGCCCCCCAAGGGCATGCCTGATGGGATTCTTGGGACACAGTGGGACCTGGGAAGGGGCACAGAAGGAGGCCAGGATAGGCGACCTGTGGCCCCCTGGCCTGGGTTGGGCCTCAGGTGGGGACCCGGCCAGTAGGGAGTCCGCTCAGCTGCAGACATAGTTCTGCCAGGTCCTGCCTCCCTTCGAGAATCACAGAATCGTGATTTGAGGAGCACTTTTCCATGGAGACCCCCACCGACGGAGGTTCCGCCCTACTTAGGCAAACCCCCCCACCCCCACCAAGGGAAAGCCATCCGTTCATTAACCCCGGATAAGTACCTCCAGCGTCTCAGTGCTGGGGACCCAGAAGTGAGCCTGACCACCAAGCCCTACTCCCCCGGATGTGGGGGAGGGGCTGGGCAGACAGGATACATTCTGTAGACTGGATTCTATTATTCAGCGAATGCTTCGTTAATTGCTTGACCCTAATTCCAGGGTCCCTTTCTGGAAGTCACTTCTTGATCAGTCACTCCTCAGCTGGTTTCAGGGCAATGGGGCTCAGGACTGTGGTTGCCGGTCAGGCCTCCACACCCCTACGCTCCCTGTCTACACCCCTATACCGCCTGTCTGCACCCCCACCCTCCTTGTCTGCCATGCTCTCTGCACCCCTACCCTCCTGCACCCCCTGTGCTCTCTGTGACCCTCATTGCTCCAGTGGCAGAGCAGTCCTGTCTGCCCCTCCACTCTAAATGGCTGCAGCAGGCACCCCTCAAATTAGTACCGAGTACAGGAGCAGTACTTGATGGGCCGACCTCCTTGCTGTGGTTGAGCAGCTGTGAAGTCCTTTCCATCTAGTGTGAGGGGTGGGGTTTGTGGGCTCACACTGGCCCTTGAGGGCTGTGTGGGATTTCCAGAAGTCTGTGTTTGTGGGTTGCTGAGAATAGGCCTGGCAGGCAAGGGAGTGCTGGGTGAGCTCTGTGTCCTCATCCTCTGCCCCCCTGGGCTGTGTCCCTGTCCCCGGGTCCCAGAGCCCAGGATGCCCCTGCGGGGTGCTGGGGGCCCTTGAGGTCTGGTGTAACAAGGGTCCTTTCAGAGCCCTCACCCGGGGACAGGCTGTCTCAGGCGCTGGTGTCTGGCTCCCCTGGGGGATCCCGCCAGTCACACAGGCGCACATTTGTCTGCTCATTTGCCCACTCACCAGACATTGACCAAGGGCCCCGTTCCTGCCAGACACCACAGACTCTTTCCACACCCTTTCCAATGGCCGCCTCCTGAAGGGCTGAATATTCCAGCAACACCCCGGCAGTCCAGGGGTTCTCCCCGCCCTACTGCCCCAGCACCCTTCCCTATGCCCAGACACTTCCCACCTGTTCCGCCCCAGGGCCTTTGCACTGGCAGCTCCCTGTACCTCCCCGTGTGTCAGTCTCAGGGAGCACCTCCTGACTGCTTGGCCCAGAGGAGCCCCGTCTGCCCTGACTTGTCATGGCTTTGTTTTCAGTCAGGGCTCCTGAAGAGCGAGTCTGACTAACGTAAGCAGGGTGTGGCTTCCAGAGCCGTTAAGAAGGCTGTTGCTGGCTTCCAAGAACGACTTCCAGGACTGTGCACAGCATGGTTGTTGACCAGTGGCTGGCCCCACCTGCCTCGTCGCACCCACTGAGCTCTGCTCTGGATCCGGGTTTCTCCGAGCCCTTCTGGTATGTGGAGCCCGAACTGGTCTGGGAATCCTGGGCCCCGGGTTTAGCTTTGCGGCCTCTGCAGTCCAGGAAGGCACGAGAAGGGTCAGTGCTAGCCAGCTGAGCCCCACACCCACAGCTCCGCGCCTGCCCTTCTGTCTTGTGGAGCCAACGCCCAGTGGGGGCCTTGCCCGGTGGGCTCCCCCCTGCAAGCAGCCCCCTGTGACCACGCCCGACTTGCAGAGGGGCCCTCTAGCCCAGGACTCTCGGCAGGCATCACAGCCACGCTGCTGGGCCCACTTTGTCGAGGGGGTGGGGCCACGGCGGCTGAGGGGCAGGTCTGGGAGGAGACCCGCTTCCATCTGGCTATAGATACAGATTTTACCTGCTCTGGGGAACGTCTGCCTCCCATGAACACGGGCCTCTGCTCTCAGCGTTTGCCATGGTGTCTTCATCCAAATTCAGATGACAGAGTGAGGACCTCTGGAAATGCTCTCTTTTGTAAAAGCAGTGAGAAAACAGGCAAAAATGGCTGGCACGGACCTTTTCAGCACCAGGAAATTAACCAAGCTGTAGCAGGCTTTGGAGTGTTTTTTGTTTTTTGTTCTAACCCAGAAAATTGGCTGCATCTTGGTAAGAACAGCAAGCCATAAGATGTTTTGTTTGTTACCATCTTGACCATTTTTAAGTGCACAGCTCAGTGGTATTGCACAAGTTCACATTGCTGAATGGCCATCACCACCGTCCATCCCAGGACTCACTCCTCTTGTGAATCTCAACCTCGGTGTCCATCCAGGAACAAGTCCCCATTCCCGCTGCTCCCAGCCCCTGGCAGCCCTGTCTCTGTGATTTTGGCTACTCTAAGTACCTCATCCAAGCGGCATCATATAGGTTTTGTCCTTCTGTGGCTGGCTCCTTTCACTGAGCACAGTGTCCTCAAGGCTCACCATGTGGTGGCAGGTGGCAGATGGTCCTTCCTGTTTCAGGCTGAATACACGATGTACACACACATACACACGGGTAGTCCATTCATCCGTCATTGGACACCTGGGTCGCTCCCTTGCTTTAGCTGCTGTGAATAATGCTACAGCGAACACGGGGGTGCAAACATCCCTGCTTTCATTTCTTTTGGATGTAGTATACCCAAATATGGAATGGCTGGGCTGTATGGTGGTTCCATGTTTAATATTTTGGAGACCCTCCACACTGTTTTCCACGGCGGCTGCACCATTTCACATTCCCACCGATGGGGCACAGGGCTCCATTTTCCCCATGTCTTCACTAAGCTACGAGGTGTTTTCACTTGGTCCGTCCCCCACTCTTCAGCTCTCTAGTAGCCTCAAAATGAGCAGCCCAAGTTCATGGTGCAAACCAACAGCCAGCCGGCCCCTGGACGGAGCCCTTTCAAAACAGCATTCCTAGGAAAGTGTCATGATTTCACCTGTCTCATGGTTTCCTGGAACACCCCGTTAGCAAACTTGTCTGCATTTGACTTGATTCAGAGCTGACCCCGTAGACAAGCCTTTTCCCCAGGGGTGATGGCTGGGAACCATCACAGGCAATTAATGAACTTTGCAATGGCCTGAGGTGGTGGATAACAGTGGGGACAAACAAGAGACTAACCGAAAGCTGAGAAGGAAAGTCTGAGAGATGGGGTGTCTACAGGGAGCTATGGAAAGCACTGGCGTATTCCCGGAGATCTAGAAGGCCACACAAATTCCTAGGGCAGCACGTGTTCCGGAAAGACCCGAGCTTACCTCCAGCTAGCCAGAGGCTCTGGGCCAGCAGGAATGGGGGGA